TGAAAACATGATCATGCTCTTTTCATTCCCATTTTCTGTATCTTCTGTACCTGCTCGCTTACCCCCAACACACAACAAAATTTGTGAAAGAAATGTAGAGTTTTATTTCATATTACTTATCAATGCATTGCATTTCTATTGAGTACTTACTATATGCCAGGCAATATGGGGATAAAGCAGTGAAAGGAGTGAACTGGTTTTGTTGTGAGGGAACTTACATTATCCATATACATTCTGAACGGAGTGATAGGGAGTAAAGAAGTAAATCAACAAGAGTTTTAGATTGTGGTAGAAAGACAGGGCTTTTCTGAGGAGATGGCATTTGAATTGAGGCTTGTTTTGTCTTTCCCATTGCTGGTACAAAATACCTGGCACCCACAATTTAAAGGAGGAAGGGTTTATTTTGTCTTACAATTTCAGATGTTTTAGTCCATTGTTGACTGGCTCAAAAGCAAAAACATAATGACAGAGGGCATGGTGGAGGAAAGCTGCATGGCACATAGGAAGCAGAGAGCAGAGGAAGGGGAAAAGGACCAGATATAGTGCCCAAGATCACACCCCTGTGGCCCACTTAGAACCCAGAAGTTGCTTTCTTATTATCCTAGGCTTCTCTTTAGCCACTTGAGTTGATAATCAAATTTAACCATCACAATTTACTTACTCATTTTATTATCAGTGGTTTTAAATTCTTAAATTTGGGTCATTTTTTTGCAGTATTTTGTAGCATTTTCTAGAAATGTTTACCCATTTGTATAGTCTTTATATTGGAGATTTATTAATTTTATTTCTAAGTTGTTGATGGAAAAAGTTCTATTTTCTGACAGACATTTTGAAAATAATGGTCATGTAGATGTTCTTTTATTGTGTATACAGTTTTATAAGTTAATTTCAATAAAGATATTATGTATGTGTATGTTTTGAAAACTAAATGGAAGATAATGCTTTGTGTTTCACAAAGATTGCACTTCTGTCAGACTAAAAGGAAAATTTTGAAATGGTGATGCTTATTGTTAAACATGTAGGCTAGTTATTAGAGAAGTGACTTGAGTAAGAGTCATATTTTAGATACAGTTTTATGGTTAAAGGATATTAGTGGCATTTGAGTTTTTGATTAGCTTAGAGATTATACATTTTAATAACTGAGCCAACCAGGAACTGTAAATTATATTTCTTGTAAAGCTGACAGGTCATGTCAGTAGAATATCTGAGTAAGAATGGTATAGACTAGTAAATAATAATGGTTTTCTTTTCTTTCTCATTGCAATGTTCTGTTTTTGTTTTTGGTAACCATGATTGAACTAGGGTCCTTGTGCTTGCAAGGCAGGTGGTAGCACTACTGAGCTAAATCCCTGGCCCATCATTGGCTATGTTCTTAATTAAAGAGTATCAGTGAGATTAATTTCTTCAGTTGTATAACCTTCCTTCTGAGGCTATCTCATTCCACTAAGTTTTATATCAAATACAATTTACATAATTGACCCCAACATACTTTTTCTACATCAGTAATTTATTCATGGTCCACTTCCTTCCAAAAGGGAATTATAGTGGCCAAAGTATATTTTTTAATGTCTAACTAGAGGATCTACTTAATAAGTTTTGTTATAATCGTGCATTTGAAAAAAAAAGTATTAAACCTTTGGTGCTAGAGAGAAACATTTAATAATTTGAAGATATGGGGAAATGTTTCATGCATGTGTATATGAGATGTACAATACATTAAAACAAGCTGGAAGAGTATACAATAAAATGTCGACTGTGTTAACTATATTAACTATGGTTATCATCTTTGAGTGGTGAATTCATGTATATCGTCTGTGTGCCTACTTGTACATTCGCACTTCTTGTATTTTCTGCTTCTTCTCAATTTGATACCCAGAACAATTTTGTTTTTATTAAAACAACTATCATTTACTCAAATAAGGACGAGCTGACTTAAAGACATTTTGTGTTTTAAAGAAAAGTTCTGGATTGAATATAGGCTAACAATGTGTTCTAGTTAACTAAATGTAAGATACATTTATAATCTTAGGCTGCCTTAATAAGATAAAAATGTATAGATCACAGAAGAAAATACATCTATGGAATCTGCAGCCCTTCCACCACCCCTTAATTGCAAGCTGTGGTTTTTGTCTCTCTAAGAATTCATCAGTAGAGGTCAGACTTTCTCATACCTATTCTATAGGTTCCTTTTCTTCTTTGCTCACTTGAATACTAAGTGAGGACCTTGTATCTTTTTCTTTCTATGATCTTCCTCCCCTTCCCTTCTTTTCCCTCTCCTCTTCCTCAGGCTCCTGCTTAAAGAGAGCTATATTATCTGAAGGGACTGGGAAAGGAAAAAAAAATGTAAGAATGGGACTCTAGAATCCAAGCTGTATGATCTGATAGGTGGTGAAACAGCTAGTCGGTGCATTGTTTATTTTATGGCATTTTAATAGAATAATTAGGGATCACAAATAATTTGTGGTACCTGAAATTTAATGGTAACTGACCAGAAATCTTAAATGGCAACCTTCAAATACTTTGAAATATATTATCAGGTTCTAATCTAATAATAACATGTGAATTATCTAAGGAGCCTAAGGTTCCTCCTCAGGGTAACCAGGAGCTAAGAGTTGAACACAGTGATTTAGCCAACTCCTCAGCACAGAGGTCTTGTGTAGAATTGGGTGCCATTCACTGAGACCTGTGCAGACTACCCTAATGGACATAGCCTGATATTTTACAAAAGTGCTGAAGTACGTGGAAAGCAGAGCAATACAAGTGCATGTCAAAGGAATCTCTGATTCAGATGGAAGTACTGAAAGATAACCAGTCAGACTGCCTGTCTTCTGTTACTTCTCACTTGGAGACACTGGTTCTAGGCAGATATTTGTTTTGGCAGAATCCTTCATAGAGAAATACTTTTCAGTTAGGAAAAAAAGCTCTTAGAGATTTGATTCGTGACTTATAAGAATAATGCCGATGAAGGCAGAGCCAGGGAAAAATACACAACATTGTGGTAGTACATCATAAAAGTGAAGTGAATAATGTTATTGTATGAGTTATGACGAGTGAAATAGTCACACTGTATTCAAGTCATTGGGAGGTAATGTTGGAGTGGATGGCTCTTCAGCAGGGGCCTCTGTTAGGAAAAAGTTATTAATAGTGGTGCAGACAGCAGCCATTTCTGCATATTCAAGTTATGATTTGTATGCAAAGGTTATTAGCCTTTGTGAGATAAATGTTCAGTTTAATAGTTATGAGTAGCCTGCTTCTGCAAAAGAACCATGTTCATTGCTACAACCTATAATGACCACAAAGGCATACTCCCATTGTGTACTCCTGGTGCTTTGTCAAGATAGTATCAGACCTTGGAAATGGCATTGCTCTTTTGTATGACTTATTAGTAAATGAACTTAATGACAAGGTGAAAACAGAAGACTGTACTTTAACTTTGTGTTTTCTCTCAAATTCTGCCTTTGTCTTTACTTCCCTTTTCCCTGCTTAAATAAAGACCTCTGCAGATTAGACCACATTTTGGTTGTATTTGATTTAGATCTTCACATACATTCATCACCTAGCATAGTGGACATGTGTCATTAGGCAGTTTCATTGTATCAGCATCAAAAGTCTACTTATACAAAGCTCAAAGGCTTAAGTCATTCACTCGATGTGGCCTCTTGAAAGACTCAGTAAGATTGTGCTACATGGTTATTGCTGGTGCATGCAACACATTGTATTACGCTGAACTTCTACAAGTACAAAGAGTACACTCTAAAAACAAAAAGTATAATAAATACATAAACCAGAGGCATAGTTGCTTATTATTATGGAATATTAGGTACTGTTCATAATTTTATGTGCTATACTTTCATATGGCTGGCAGTGGATTAGGTTGGCTTACACAGGCGTCAGTGCAGTCATGTGAATAATCAGGTATGCTTTGTCGTTAGGACTGTGATGACGGCACTAGGTGGTAAGCAGTTTTAGTTCCATTATCTTATGAGACCATTGTTATATATATGGTCTGTTGTTGACTCTATTAAGTAGGAAATTATGCACAAGAACATATACAGAAGAAATGAAGGGTCTTGATGACGAATAACAAGAAGTGATTCAAGAGACGATATAATAGGATTGATGAACATAGGTATGATATACTATGTAGATGTTATCAGTGGTTCACAATTTTGACACTTTGCAGAAGTGCGCAAATAAGTTGAAATAGGAACAGTGTTCACCAGCATTACTTGAGATTTTATTTTATTTTTTAAAAAGAGAAGGTACTGCTGTACTTGTGCAGATTTGGCATGGAATCTGCTATGGTCAATTAAGTGCAAAAGAGACCTGATTAGGAAAGCTTCAATGTAAAGATGGTAGTGGAAATCATCTCCATATCTGGGTTTTTTTGTTCATTTCACTAATTTCTTATAATTTGAGCAGGTATTATTAGTGATAAGCAAAACATATATAGTCCATTCCCTCTTAGGCAAAGAAACCTAAATGTGAAGAGTCTTCTACAAAATTTCCTGGAAAAAAAAAAACCATGTCATCTCTGTCAGCTAGATTGCTGTGGCAGGACCCAGCGCTGCAACTGGATTGTTAATTTTGTGCTCACTTCGGCAGCACATATACTAAACTTTGGTTGTACATTTATCACAAAGTCTTTTATAATATATCTAAAATAAATGAAAATATATTCTGACATTGAAATTAGTGGGAGACAAAGAGAGAGGAAGAGAGAGGAAAAGAGAAATTGAAATTCTGGTGATGATTTCCCTATCCAACAAGTAAAACAAAATCTTAGAGAAACATTTCAGAGATCTCTTTTATTTATATGTTATCTTTTTCTCTTGCTAACATTCCTTTCATCTCTTTTTCTAGCTTTTGTAACATTATCTTTATGTTCTTGAGTAGTTCCTTTTGACGAATGGGTAGTCCTTAGTACATGACTTTTAAACTTGATCGTGTACTTTCAAAGATGTCCTGAAAATATATTAATAAAGTTTTAACAACCATAGATATCAGGAGGCAATTCAGAAGTGGGATGAAGCACTACAGTTAACGCCGAATGACGCTACCCTCTATGAGATGAAGTCACAGGTAATAATTGTGAAGAATATAATTTTATCATGAAATTATGCTTTGTTTAGTAATAGTGAACCAAAATAGTGTTTTCTTCTATTTTATTTTTCAAGTACAATTTATTTTTAAAAATTGCCATATTATTTATACTTCTGCCTCATGCCCAGAATTAGAAACTCATTTGCCTTCATGATGGACTTACTTTGTATTTCAACCTGTGATAAGAGCAGATAGAATATTTTAAAAAGCTACTGTTGTGCTTATAAATAAATGAAAAGCATCTACTTGTCTTCTAAGTTAATTGTAACAAACTTATCAGTAGCTCACTTTTCTTCAAAATGAGAGTGGCTTGGGTTCTGGATAAAATTTCTCCAAAACTAGCCTAGACTGTAGAAGTTTAGAATAAATGCAGTTTTAAAAATAACATTTATATTTAATAATGCATTTTGTGGGAAAGTGCATAAAGAAAACCTGTAAGCACCTTAAGTTGTAGATTATCCAAGAAACTAAAAGTCTCAAACAAAGCATTAAATGTATATTTGGCTGGTAATGGTTGTAATTTTGATTTTATCTGTACATCTACCAAATATATATATATTTTAGATGATGGTCTCTAACATGAGAAACATGCTTTATTAGCTTTGATTTTTACTTTTATCCTTTATCCAAGAAAAGCTAAATAAATTATATCCACTGAAGCAAGTGCTTTGAGGGCCTTCATTTGAATGCCTTTAAATTTAAATTTTAAAATATGTATGTACTAAGGCAGGATTTATGGTAAACCATATTAAGGGTTTAATTTGGAACCTGATGGTGAAGTTTCTGTTAAAAACGTTCTAAAATGTTAATGGTCTCAATGATTACAGGTAAAATCTAACCCTTTCCCACGAACTGGAGAGTTCTCCAACTTTCCAATTTTTCTGGTTTGTATGATTTGAAAAGCCCAGTTGGGTCTATAAAATGTTTAAATAATTTCTGTATAAGCTAGTTGTTCAGTAGGGACAGGAAGACTTGTTAAAGAGTTAGTTTAGCTAGTTTAACAGCAAGACATAAGAGTTTACTAAAAACTACACTGTAGGTAAAACAAATAAAAATGGAGATCAAATAACCCCGAGCTACCATGGTGGGAATAGGACAACTTGATTTTGACCAGATGGACAAAGTTCAATAACTGGAAAGGGAATAGTTTATATTTTTCTGGTTATTTTAGGATTGAAAAGAGGACTAAAATTCCTGACCCTGAATGGCAAAGGAGGGGGTAAAAACCACTATATTTGCCAGACTAAGATATATTTTGAAAATGGAAAAAATCTTTTTTTTCTCATTGAGTTTGTTGGTACATTTTAGGTATACAGTACAGTTGCATTCATTTTTGGGTTCTTGTACCTTTACATGACAGGTCTTGGTTCTAATTTTTTTCCCATACCCCTGCCCTCCCTTCACCCACTCCACCCTTCCCTATTTACAAATATTTTGTTTCCATTTTTCCTTTTTCTCATATGGAAAAATCTTTTTTTATATATGGTTTTTTTATATAGTTTTCAGTTTATATATGTATTACCAACTGTTTTCTTTCTTCTTCATTTTGGTTTATAGGTCCTAATGTCTCTTCATGAAATGTTCCCAGCAGTACATGCAGCGGAAATGGCTGTCCAGCGAAATCCACATTCATGGGAGTCTTGGCAAACTTTGGGACGTGCTCAGCTTGGATTAGGAGAGATAGTCCTGGTAAGGAGAGTGGACTATTGCAGTGCTGAAGTTTTAAGTTGATTCTGTCCTATTTTTGATCAATAAAGCCAAAGGTGAATGCAATTTAATCACATCTGTACAAAAAATAAATAGAAAATTATTCTTAATACATAAATACAGCTGCAAGCTGTTACTGAACATCTTTTTATGACTGTAAACACCAATTATATCAGGGTAAGAGTATTTTTTGTTTGATATTATGAAAGCTAAAAAAATAGAAGTTTAATATAAAGTATTGGCATTTAGTAAAGTGTATTTAGACAATAAGCAACTTTTGTTCTTAGGATCATTAAGTTTACCACACTGGGAAGAGTGCCTGTGTGTGGTGTGGGAGGGGCAACAGGTGTGTCCCCGGCACACCTGTGTCTCCAGCACCATCTTCCTGCTGTGGCCAGTCACTCACCTCACCTTTGATGTGGGTACCCTGCTTAGGGATTCCAAACAACTGTATTTAGTGGTGTTTCAAAAAATATTCGCCATGCACTAAATTAAAATCCAAATGGATTAAAGATCTAAATATTAAAACAGAAACATTAAACTTGCTGGAAGGTAAGTTAGGCAGAACTCTGGAAGACAATGGTATAGGAAAAGACTTTATGAACAAATCCTCAGTAGCACGGGAACTAGCAGATAGAATCAACAACTGGGATCTCATCTTACTAAAAAGCTTCTGTACTTCAAAAGAAACCATCAGCAGAACTAAGAGACAATCTACAATGTGGGAAAAAATTTTTACCAGCTGTACCTCAGACAAAGGACTATTATCAAGGATATATAAAGAACTCAAAACAGTTAGTCCCCCCAAATATAAAGACCCGATTCAAAAATGGGCATCCGAAATGAACAGACATTTCTCAGACAAAGAAGTAAAAGCAGCAAGAAAATATATGAAAAAATGTTCCACATCACTGGTCATTCGAGAGATGCAGATGAAAACACTGAGATTCCACCTCACCCCACAAAGAATGGCTGCTATCAAGAAATCACACAATAACAAATGTTGGCGGGGTTTTGGGGAGAAAGGAACCCTCCTCCATTGTTGGTGGGAGTGCAGACTAGTGCAACCACTATGGAAATCAATATGGAGATACCTCAAAGAGCTTGGACTGGAGGTTCCATTTGACCCAGCCACCCCTCTGCTGGGTATCTTTCCAAAAGAACTAAAAGAATCATATCACAGAGAAGTATGTGCACCCATGTTTATAGCGGCAGAGTTTGTAATAGCTGAATCTTGGAAACAGCCTATTTGCCCATCCGTTGGAAACTGGATAAAGAAGTTGTGGTTTTTCTATAAAATGGAATATTACTCAGCCATAAAGAATGAGAAAATAGATTCATTCATAGGAAAATGGATACATATTGAAGATATACTCCTAAGTGAAATAAATAAGTCACACATGTGTAAATACCAAATAGTTTCCCTGGTGCGAATATTCTGCAACAATGCATAAGATTCTAATAAGATTACTGACATTTAGAAATTTGAAGAAAGGAGCTAAAGGTGTAGGGAAGGTGTGATGCGTAGGGGAAGAACAAAAAGGGAAAAGAAAAAAATGTGAGAGAATGAAAAGATGAAAATAAAGTGTTTGTAGATGGGGAGGGGTGGAGGGGGTGAAGGGAGGGCAGAGGTAAGGGGAAAAAATGAGAATCAAGACTTGCCATGTAGAGGTACATGATCCCAACACTGAATGTAACTGTACTGTATCCCTAAAATGTACCAATAAACTCAATAAAATTAAAAAAAAAATATTTGGTCACTATGTAAAGAAATACAGCTGGGATATCAAGCCCCTGGTGAAAGGTAAAAAGGCATTAGAAGTCTTCAGATCATAATAGACATCATGCAGCGTGTCCCAGGGTCCAAGAGTTGCTGGTAGAAGAGAGCCAAAGGAAGTTACAAGAAGTGTTTCCTACTGTGCTTAGTCCAGGTGTTGAAAAACTGGTCCACCACCTGTGGAAGTGAAAGTCTGCTTCACTCTGGCCACCAACTCAGGGAATATGTCCTTTGAAATAAAGATAAGCAGGCACAAGGAGTTCTTCAATTTATTCAGCCACAGCATGTTGGGAGACGATCCAAAGGTGAAGAGTGGAAAACTGCCTAGATGTCTTCCTCGCCTGTTCCAAGCGGTTCTCTCCTCCCTCACCCCTGGCACAGTGCCTTGTCTTTGAAGATGCTTTCAGCTGGGTGGAGGCAGCCCTAGCAGCTGGGATGCAGGTTGTCATGATCTCCTATGAAAACCTCAAGCACGATTTGATACCCAAGGCCACTGTAGTGCTGAGTTCCTATAGAACCTGCAGCCTGAGCTGTTTGGTGTGCCTCCCTACGAGTAAGGGCTAGGCTCTCCCATCCTCTGGACTATGTTCATGACCCATATTGCGAGGAATGGGGGAGGTGAGTCCTCACTTGCATGCTGGATCATCATCACTGAAGCCTTTTTTTTTGTACTGGGGATCGAGCTCGGGACCTTGCACTTGCAAAGCAGGTGGTGGAACCACTGAGCTAAATCCCCGGCCCTACTGCAGCCTTTTGAAGCTGGTATTCTGTCCCTTTCTGTATTACCTTGGCCCACTCTCTCATCATCATTGGTGGCCCTTCACTTGGCAATTGAAGAGAGACCAGTGAAATCAGACCAGAGACAGAATCTGATTTGCCCTGTGAATCTCTGAATGAAGAAGCTTTTGCAGTACACAGACAGGAATGTACAAACACATGTATATACCACCATGTGAATATGCATGTGTGCCATATGTATATGTGTCAATGTAAACTTATATTTGCAAAGAATATACTTCTTTAAGAAAATATGAAATTGTATTTTTGCACATTTCTTCTTTATTTTAGTTTTTCTGAATGTTTATACCTGAGAATGTAAACATTATGTACATATATGTATATGCTTTTATGTGTGTACATAATTTATATAATACATTGTTTTGCTGTTTTCGGTGTTGATGGTAGCATACAATTGCAGCTAGTATATGAGATGAAAATTCTTTTGACTTTGAAACCTGAGTAAGGAAAACCTTGGTATTGATGAAACTTAATAAATAATTCTCCAAAGTAGCTATCATTAGAATAATTTTTGTGTCCTCATTGGAACTTTAGTGTTTAAACACCCTGAGCTGTGTGTATGGTCAGTAGTTTAACTCTGTATGTGTAGCATGTCTGGTATCTATGTCCTTATCCATGTTGAAGAATATTTTCTGTCTCAGAAAAAATATTTTTCTCCTTTAAGAATGGTGACTTTCTACCTTTTTACTGAAAAAAAAACCCAGATATTGATTTTTTTTTTCAAATTGTTACTTCAACAGACACAGAGCCACAGAGTACTTTTGGTGTAATCTGCTATCACACTTCTGTGATCAGCTCCTTTTATAGATTTACTCTGGCCTTGAGAATTTGGCTATAATTTGTCAAATTATGGAAAGCTTTAAAATGGTGAAAAAGGAGCCCTTCTCAATTCTGCCTCAACTCACCCTTCCAGGTGCTTCTGTCCTTCCAGATGCCTTCAGCTCTTTAAGTTGTAGATAAAAACATAACAGTACATGAGGTTTTCTGGTGGAATGACTGTGGGTTTACCCAGCTATCAAGTTGTGCCTCAAGTTGGGGAATTCACTTCACTATTCCTGAGTACCTGTGTTCTTACTGTCTTTTGAACAAACCAACTGTATCATCTTACTGGTTTCCTCACAAGTTAATTTAGTTGAATAAAATTTTTTGTACACATTCATGTAAAACAAAGTTTACCACATTAAATGGTGGGAATATATGATAGCGATAAGCTCACTAGCAGATACTGTAGGGGAAGGAAGAAAGTAGAAAATGAGGAGTAATGATGATATTTGGACTGAGTTGCTGGGCTTGGTGAGGGGAGTGTGAGAAAGGGTAGAAGCTTGGGAGAATGAAGTATTTGTTGTGTAAAGTTTATTATGAATGGTACTAAGGAAATCTCTCAACATATCTGGACTGTACCTTGTAGCAAAGGCTAAATAAGTGAGAATTGTCCTGTTTTTGTTTGGGGATGACTATTCATATCTGACAGTTAATAAAACAACTTCATAAGCAAATTTAATATAGTAGTGCCAATTTACTTCTTTGTCATGGAGTAAATTATTTATGACTTGCTAAATTACTTCTTTGTTGTTGAATAAATTATTATGGCTTTATAATTTTATTGGCCTTTTACACTTAAAAATAAAACACTTCTTTTTATCTTTTTGGTACCAGGGATCAAACTTGAGTCCTTGCACTTGCAAGGCAGGCAGCGGAACCACTGAGCTAAACCCCTGGCCCAATAAAACGTCTTATAATTATTTTTATTTCCAAAAGAAAGTATGTGACAAGTTTTTACAAATAATACACAAAGAGTTTTCATGGGAAAACAGCTGTTTGGACTAAAGCAACTTGAAAATGATAATCTGAAATGATATTCATAGTGATAGAAATTAGTTTAACCAAGAGCCATTTTCTTTTCCACCCATTTAGCGTTGTCCTTTTTTCTATTTTTACCTAAAGACTTAAGTCATACCAGAGTTGGGAAAAAAAACTAAAGTGAAAGGAAAGGAAAAAGGAGTTTAATTTTTTAACAGACTAATGAGAGGTGGTGGATATATAAAATTAATTTTTATATCTTTTATTAATTTTATGAATCATTATCTCACTTGTCTGCTAATGGGAATTCTCTAGGCCATGTTTAGCAATACTTCTTATCCTTTATAGAAAAAGTATATTACAGGTGAGACGACAGAGTTAATTTGAACCATCTAATAAAAATAAAGTTATTTAGCCAGGGATTTGGCTCAGTGGTTCCATTGCCTGCCTTGTAAAGCACAAGGACCCAAGTTCGATCCCTGGTACAAAAATAAATAAATAAAGTTATTTAACATTTAAAGTTTTTGAATTAACCATTTTTTGTGATTCTATTAATCTTGTGCAGTTTTAGAGAAATTGAAAGTTTTTTTTCCCCATTTATAATTTTTAGGGATCTCCTTGTAAAAGTCTAAATTTGTGATTTTTGTATAGTTTCAGGCTATTCTCTTGAAAGACAAGAATGGTAAAAATCAAAACAAAAATCCCCAAAACACACTATACTCAGCCCAGTGAAGTAGTGCATCTCTGTAATCTGAGCATTCTGGGAGGCTGAGGCAATTGGATTGGAAGTTCAAGTCCTGTCTGGGCAGTTCAGTAACTTAGGACACCCTGTCTCAAAAAGAAATAGTGATGTAACTCTAATATGAAGCTCTGAGTTCAATTCCCAGTACCACAAAAACAAACAAACAGCAGCAACTACAAAAAACTTTAAAATGAAGGAACATTATGAAAAATATATGTAACTCAGGCTAAAATTTATTTTCTTTTTCTTTTTTTTTCTTTTTATTTATTTATTTTTTTTTTGTGGTACTGGGGAATGAACTTGTGACCTTGCACTTGCAAGGCAGGTGGTAGCAACACTGAGCTAAATCCCCGGCCCTCAGGCTAAAATTTCTAACATGTAATAATTCTTACTATATAGTACATGTATAGACAAAATCATAAGATGCATAAATAGAAATGAAAAATAAATTAAAATCAAATGTCAAGAGTTGGTTATATCCCCATGAATACTTAGATTTTTTTTTTTGGTACCGGGGATCAAACTTGGGCCCTTGTGCTTGCAAGGTAGGCAGCGAAATCACTGAGCTAACTCCCCAGCAAAACTTTTAATTCGATTTTGAAACAGCTTATGGGAAATAACTGAGTGAGTGGGAAAGCAAGGAGCGGTGAGTGTTTTGGGAGAGGAAAAGAGAGCCTGGACTTCATAAGAAGACTAGGAAGAAGGATGAAAGAGTAAGAAAGACGTTGAGAATTGTTTTGGAAGTTAAAAAATTGATTTGAAGGAATGGGATTGCTGAGAAAGAATTTATAAGGAGACTGATTCTAGAAAAGTTACAAAAGAAAGGAAATAGGAAAAACAAGGGATAGCAGGAGGTAATAGTTTTAAGGATGATTCAGTTAGCTCCTCAGAGTCTTTATTCTCCAGTGCTGGAACTAGCTTCTAGACCTCCCTGTTCAGTTTCTGCATAATTCACTGTCAACTTTTGTTTTTTTGTGCCAATATATGATATGCATTTATTTTATATGCATTCATTTTATTTGCTAATGTTTTCTCTGTTTTCCAGATCTCATTATAGGAATTTAAATATTTTGCATGAACAAATCTTTTACTAGAAATTTCATTGGGGTATTTTGGTTCTTTTTCTAGTTTCCTGCTTATAAAATAATAATTTTAGTTTTTTGTTTTTTCGAGACTTTGTAGCTCAGGCTTGCCTCAAACTTGTAGAGATTCTCCTGTGTCAGCCTTCTGAGTGCTGGGATTACAAGTTTGCACCAATGTGTCTCTCTTGATAATTATTTTTGTAGTAATAAGATTGATATGATAGTTTTCAGACAAAAGGAAGATGGCTCACAAGTGAAATTTTTTTCCCCACTATAATCATTGAGTGGTCAAGGCAAAGTTCTAACTTCATATGTGTATGGGTGGATGTACATACACACACACACACACACACACACACACACTGTAATAAACATACTGAATTTTAGAAACAAAACAAATGAAAATGTGTGACCTGTTTTTTTTTCCAGGCAATCCGAAGTTTCCAAGTTGCCCTTCACATCTATCCAATGAATCCTGAAATATGGAAAGAAGACCTTTCTTGGGCAAGAACGCTGCAGGAGCAGCAGAAGGTGGCACAGAAGATTAAAAAAAGTGAAACACCTTCTGAGGAAACACATTTTTCGCCGAAGTCAATTCCTGACTATGACTTTGAAAGTGATGAGATTGTTGCTGTTTGTGCAGCTATTGCCGAGAAACAGAAGACAGTTTCAGCTAATAAAACAATGGTTATTGTGTCAGCTTCTGGGACTGTAGAGACTGTAACTGAGGAGGAAGAGGGTGCCACCCCTCCAGATGGCTCTGTGTTTATCAAAGCCCGATGAAGCAGCGTGCACGGTGGAGTTCTGTCTGTCTTTTTGGTTGGTACTTCTAGTGCAGCATAGATGCATTTACCTTTGAGAAAGGGGGCGAAACTCTTCCGTATAAAATACGGTTTTCTGCTGACGCATATAAAACTAAACAGTACTTAAGATTAGAATTCTTAGTAAAATGTTTTGATTGATGAACAGTTTAATTTGGATATATGAATGAATACATTTTAAAGATACACCTTGAAAAATGTATTCTTAAATAGTGAATACCTTGATGGCCAATGATTTTAAAATGTGGATATACTGATATATATGATGACTTTCCCTCCTTGAAATTTGCTGCTTACTCCTGCCCACTCTTTCATGTTTCTTGCTCACTAAGCTATTGTAAGTCTTCACAATGAATTTAACTTCACAACGTGAAGTAAATCTTCACACTGTATTTCTGACATTCATTTTGATTGAGAGTTATCGTTTGCATATATGTGGAATCTTTGAAAGTCTGGTTGAAAATGCATGCAGTGTGAACATTTTTTTAGGTTCTTCAATTCTGACTAGTGCTTCTGTTTTGACCTGGAAATCATAATAGTGGTAGTTGTCTCCAGTATTTCTTAGATGTGTGAAATATTGATAAATATCAGAATGATAGTTTTATTTTTATTGTGGTAGTCCTTACCACAAGTGAGTCACTTTTAAAATACATATTTTGCAGATAATGTCATAATAAATTATAATCCCCTATTATCCCAATCAAAAGCAGTATTTTTTTTTCTTATTTTTAGGCCCTTAAAAAACCCTGAAGTTACTTCTTACTTGTAACTTTCCACCTGATGATTTAGAATTACTTTTTCAGATAAATTTTTTGGAACTATTTAGTTAAATGAAAATAATTTCTTTTTTTTTTTTTTTTGGTTTTTTGAGACAGTGTCTCACTATGTAGTAGAGACTGACCTGGAACTCACTATGTGGCCCAGGCTGGTCTCAAACTCACAGCAATCCTCCTGCTTCAGCCTCCTGAGTGCTGGGGTTACAGGTGTGTGCCACCATGCCCAGCTACAACTTTAAATAGCTAAAGATATTATAAAAATAAAAAGGGGATGTTATTATTAGAGTGTTACTGAGTGAGTAACAAGTAAAAAGTACATAGAAACTGAAATGTGATTTATGGTATAATCCCATGACTGTGTGAAATATAAATTAAATAGATTATTGAAAGGACACAGTCTCCTTCATAAATAAATACTATTATTGCTAATGTGAATTTTTATTTTTATATTATAGTACAATTATATGGAACTGTTGAGCACTGTTATTTCTGACGGTCAGGAAGATGTTACTGGTATAAAATGAATGTTACCCATTAGAAATGAAAGTTTACTACTTTATGTTAAAGAATCTCACCTAACCCTGCTGGAGCATGTAAATAATGGTCTATATGTTTATAAATTTTGTTTTAGTAGAATGCTTACTCCCCACCTACCCCAAGAAAATCAGCACTTGCCTTAAAAAGTATTATATTTTCCCACTAAGTTACATCATCAGAAAATTAGCCCTGGTCAGATAGATCAGTTTTAGAATGATAAAAATATTATTTGTTTTATAAAGAATATTCTCAAAGGGTGGGGGTAGGTAGCTAGAGACTCTTTAGTACACTGTTTTTTGAGATAGGGCCTCGCTATGTAGCCCAGGTTGGCCTTGAACTCACTGCTGTCCTCCTGCCTCAGCTTCCTGAGTGTTGGACACCATGATGTTAAAAAAAAAAAAAAAAGTGTAATGGATATTTGTGTATTTGTGTAATTTGTAAATAAATAGTCGTTTTTCCTGCATTTTAGACTTTTGTATTTTGTGTTAGCTTTTGAAAAATTAGGTTGATTTACTTGGTTTCTTTCTTATGTGAAAGTAATATATATTAAGTACCTTGAGTGATTCCTAACACATAAAATGCTCAGTAAATGCCAGCTGTATTTATGAAGAACTTGAATATTTTGGGGAGATACTTTGCCTCACTTTCTTGTGATTTTAAGAAAGGAGAACTTTGTAATCTTTTCCTTATTTGAAAAGTAACTCCTTCTATTGTAGAGCAGATGTTTATCAGTTGGAGATTATTCTTGGCATAAGGTCCAAAGAGGCAAGACCCATCATGGAGTGCATGTAACCACTGGATTGTTAACGAATCTATTGCTTCTACTGTATTAGCATTGATAGGAGAAGTTCATCTCCTTTTTACCTTGGTATAAGATATAAAATAGTTTAGACATAGATGGAGGAGAGGTGGAATTACCATCATGCCCACCTATGTGGGAGCAGTGAGACAGAAGATCTAGAAGTCCACTTGAATGCTTGCATACTCCAAAACAGGATGACAGAAAAAGCTAGATACAGGAAGGCAGGAAGAGAAACTCACCAGATTCAAATCCAGTATCAAGGAGCTTGGAAAGGAAGCTGGACTACACAGGACCACAGTACCCCTTCTATCCACGTCCAGTGTGCGCACCATCGTGGGAGGGAATCTAATGCCCTCTGGGAGGGAGCCAGCACGGCAGCGGAGGCCGGGCCACTGCAAAAGGCTCCTACCTAATCCTTCCGCCCTCCCCACACAGCAAATGAGATATAGGTAAGCCAGGGCATCAGAGAAACTGGAAGTGTGAAAGGTGTTTGAGAAGGCACTGGCTGGCCTTCGGAGAAGCTGAAGACAGGTGTACAACCCCAATTGGGGAAGGACCTAGTTCTGAGTGCTGAGAAGACTAGTTCAGGGGACAGAAGAAGGGCAAGTTTCTGGGGAAAGAGGAAATCAAATATGCCTCAGAACAGACATTCTCCACACAACACCCGGAGCATTTACACCCACTGGAATACTGCTTAGTGCTCACAGCCTCCATCATAAGAGCCCCGCCACCGACGTCTGGGGCTGCTGATGGCAACAGGACCTGAGGACAGTAGGGAGCTGCGAGTGCTGTCCTAGTCAGAGAGCTTTTAGCAGTGACCTTGGGAGAAGGCAGGTTAGGGAGGGTACAGACATCAGTTGGATTTGTCTTGCAGGGAAGGAGTGGGAGTCAAGGGAGACCTGGTCGAAACCAGTGAAAACTGTGTAGTAAGCCAATCACACTGCACTGTCTGTCTATCCTCCAATTATCTAAGGGAGTTGGATATTAAGACAAAGGCAGTGGACTACAGTTTTGGAAGAACGGCAATTGGTTCTGCCTATTTAGGAACAAGGTATATTTTTTCATTTTCTGATGTCCTCTTCTATTCCCTTTTTCACTGCTTATTTTTTTTTCAGCTTTAATTGAGTTTATTGGTACATTTTAGGGATACAGTACAGTTACATTCATTGTTGGGATCTTGTACCTCTACATGACAAGTCTTGATTCTCATTTTTTCCCCTTACCTCTGCCCTCCCTTCACCCACTCCTGAGTACTGTAGTTTTCATGGTAAAGGTCTTTCACTTCCTTGGTGAGGTTAATTCTTAGGATTTTTTTTTTTTTTTCCCCGGTACCGGGGATTGAACTCGGGTCTTTGTGCTTCGAACCGCTGATCTAAATCCCCGGCCCCAAGGAATTTTTTTCTTGATACTATGGTGAATGGTATTGTTTCACTAATTTCTTTTTTGGTGAATTTATTATTGGTGTATAGGGATGCTACTGATTTTTGTTGACTTTGTATCCTGCTACCTTAATGAATTTGAGTATTAATTCTAGGAGACTTGGTAGATTTTTAAAAATTCTTTTATTTAGAGGATCATGTTTTCCGAATAATGATAATTTGACTTCTTCCTCCTACACATAACCCATTTATTTCTTTCTCTTGTCTAATTGGTCTGGCTAATATTTGGAAAGTTTTAGTAGTAGTTATAGAAGACTTTGTTTTTTGTTTTTTGTTTTTTGAGACAGGGTCTCAGGATGTACTTGATGCTACCCTGGAACTCACTGTGTAGCCCAGGCTTGTCTCAAACTCACAGACATCCTCCTGCCTCAGCCTCCTGAGTGCTGAGTTTACAGATGTGTGCCACCACACCCAGCTAGCAGACATCTTTTTCATCTTCCTGATTTTAGAGGGAAGGTTCATCTTCTCTCCTTTTCATATGATATTTATTGGTCATTTGTTATAAGTAACCTTTATAGGATGGAGATAAGTTCCTTCTATACCTTTTTCTTCATGGTTTGTATTTGTATCCTAAGTGGATGTTGGATTTTTGTCAAAGGCCTTTACCGCATTATCGAGATGATCATATGGCCTTTGTCCTTGCTTCTATTTACCTGATTTGTTCCATTTATTGATTTATATTAAAGAGTTTGAGGAATATTGGCATTTGATCTTCCCCTGAGTTCTTGTAGAATTCAGTAGTGAATCCACTGGGATCTAAGAAACCTCAGTTGGTAGTTTTTAAAAATTGCTTCTTGAATTTCATTACCTTGATTTTGAATTATTCAGAGCTTTAATGCCCTGATGGTTCAGATTTGGTAGTTTGTATGTACCTAGGAACCTATCAATTTCATCTACATTCTCCATTTTATTAGAATACACGTTCCTTAATGTCTCAAGTGTGATTAGAAGAATGTGTGCTCTGTTTTTATTGGGTGGAATACTCTGTTGATACCTATTAAGTCCATTTGTTTGAAGGGTTGCTTCAATCAATATAATTAAATTCTCCCTTTTGCCATGTCTCCTTTCTCTGGCCCTGTTTCTCAGAGTAGTTACTAATAATTTTCTGTATTTTGGCAGAATCCTTTGTGATTTCACCTTTTTCATTTTTAATTGCATCGATTTGGGGTATATCCTTTCCTTTTTTTCATAAGATTGGCTAGGGGTTTGTCAATTTTGTTTATTCTTTCAAAGAACCAGCTCTTTGATTCTACATTTGGTCTTAGCCAAAAGGCCAAGAAGTGATTGGTTCATTGATTCTATTGATTCTAGTCTCAATTTCATTAATTTCTGCTCTGACCTTTATAATATACTTTCTGTACTAGCTTTGAATTTGGGCTGTTGTGTTTCTAGAACCTTATGATGCATCACTAGAAGACTCACTCTGCTTTTCTGATATGGATAGTCACAGTTGTAAACTTTTCTCTAAACACTGCTTTCATTTTGTCCCACAGGTTCCAGTATGTATACTGACATTATCATTTGATTCTAATTTCTTCTCTGACCCATTGATTATTCAGGAGGGTATTGTTTAATTTCCATGTGTTTGCATAATTTCTATGATATTTTTGCTGTGATTTCTAGTTTCATCACACTGTGAGTTATTCATATGCATATTAGTATGCAATAATTGTGATTCATTTGCATTTACTTAATCATGGTTTATGAGCTGGCATGTGGTCTATTTTGGAGAAAATTGCATATGCTGGTGAGAAGAATGTGTGTTCTGTTGTTGGTTGGAATACTCTGTAGATACCTACTAAGTCCATTTGTTTGTAGATTTGGTTTAATCAGCATAATTAAATACTTTCTCTTGGTATAAGTATCCTTTATCTGGTCCCATTTCTCATATATAGTACTTGGAAGATATGATGAGATAATAATTTTATCATTTTAGAGTCAGGTTTTCTTGTGGTGGGAAAAGGGTATGAGGTAGAGGGAGTGGTCAGAGAGGAAATATCACGGCTAATTTTTTTCTGAAACTTGTACAAGCAGTCCTATACTTAAAAGCATAACCAAGGAAAAAAGATTTCAGCCTTGTTTAGTTATCTGTTCCATAATTATTTGTACAACTTTACAACTATGTAATGCAAAGATGATTTTTTGGACTGTTGTTATTTCTTGCCATGAGACACTGTTCAGACCATCAGAGAGCATCAGAGTTTCTATGCAAGATAGCTCTTATTCTTAGGGAAAATGAATGTTTTGTGTAACAGATTTTTCTGCATTAATATTCGAGGCCAAACAAATCACTAACAGTAAATAGTGTGTATGTATTTTCTGTGGCCCTTTGTGTTTATAGAAAAACCTATGAAAAGGGCTACTTTCATTTGGGAAAGATTCTTGACCCTGGACAAAGCACCATTTGAATAAAACTGACAATTTCACTACCTTCTCTCACACAGATGACACAGTTGGTTAGATTGTATCAAAGACTATGAGATGGTGTAAAAAATGCCTTCCTGTCTGCTATACCCTGTGTGGACCAGATATGACTCAATGCCAGCCAGACAATAAGAACTTCCTTGCATAGAGAATCTGAGGTTCTCTTAATGGTCTGAACAGTGTCCCGTGGCAATAAATAACACTCCAAAAACCATCTTTTCATTACGTAGTTGTTGAGTTGTACAAATAATTATGGAATAGATGACTAAATGAGACTGAAGTCTTTTTCCTTGGCTATGCTTTTAAGTATAAGCCAGAGTCAACAATAAAATGGACTGAATTGTATATTCCTTAGATTTGTTTGTTGAAGCTATAATCTGGGCCAAGGGGAAAACCAAGCCAACAGGTGGGGGGGAGTTGGATGAGGGATGTGCACACACGGAGAAAAGGCCATGTAAGGGCACATTGAGAAGTGCCATTTGCAGGCCAAGGGGAGAGGCTTTAAAAGAAATCAGCCCTACCATTGGTGACACCTTGATCTTGCATGTTTAGCCTCTTGAACTCTAAGAAAAGGCTGTTGTTTAAGCCACCCAGTCAGTGGTGCTTTATTGTGGCAGCCTTACCTGCTTAATATGCACATAATTCAATTTAAAAATGGACACAGGGCTTTAACAGATATTTCTCCAAAGGGGATATACAATCAGGCAATAAGCATATGAATAAATTCTTCAAATCATTAGTCATTAGGGAAATACAAATCAAAACCACAGTGAGATACCACTTCACACTCAGGTGTACAATAGAGAATACAGACTAACAAATATTGACAAAGACGTGGAAAACTTGAAGCCCTTGTACAGTTCCTTTGGGAATTAACATGGTACAGAAAATGTCTGAGATGGCTTCAAAACATTGAACTTGCAGTTACTGTACTACAATTTCACTCTCAGGTATATGCCCAAAAGAATTGAAAATATATCTTTACACAAAAATTTACTAGCAAAAATATTCATAGCAGAATTATTCACAGTACATAAAAAGTGCAAACAACTCAATGTTCTTGAACTGTTGTATAGATGAACAAAATGTGTTATATCCGTACCATAAGGAATTATTCATCAATTAAAAAAAGGAATTACTGATTCATACTGCAACATCAGTGCCCTTGAAAACATTCTAAGTGAAAGAACCTGGACACAAAAACCCACACAGTGTATGATTCATTTATGTAAAATGTCCAGACAAATCCACAGAGATACTGTGATTGCCAGACTACTAGGGGAAAAGACAATGGAAACTGACTGCAAACAGAAATGTGCTTCATTTAAGGGAGGATGAAAATGTTCTGCAGTTAGATAGCAGTGATAGTTACAGCTTTGTGAACATACTAAACTATTTTAAAGGGTGTACACTTGAAAGGATAAATTTTTTATCATGGTATTTCAGCTAAGATTGAGCCCATCGGTGTTCTGGATGGTGAATTTAAAGAGGAGATTAGGTCATGAGTCTTAATAGCACTAGCTTGTGAATAAAGCTTTTTTTTTTTCACCTATAAACATGGGTGATTTAGCTGTTGTCTCTGTTGCTCATGGTCATGAAGGTAAAACAAAATCCTTCTTCATTAGCTAAATATTTTCTGAAAACATTGTTTCATAGGCATTAGCTAGAGTGGGGAAACAACATTTTAGAAGTTTTAAGTTGTGTGCTCCTTTTCCAAAGTTGCCTTACCTCCAACAAGAATCACTGTGCCCGTGGGCTTGTGAAGATGACAGTCCTATTTTTGACATCATCCATATATATCTTTAAAAATTTTTGCAAATAGCAAATCATGACTTCACTGCTGCTTGAAGTGTGTCCTAATACTGGTATGACCCAGGAGTTTTTTTTTTTTTTTTAAAGAAATGTAGACACCCCAGACCCACTGAATCAGACACCATGTTGTCAAGAGGTCTCCAGATGACTCATGTAGGCTAAAGTTTGAGGTTCACTGATCTGGATAAATTAAAAATAGGAAGGACCAAAAGTTTACTCTAATGTTTTGTAATAATTATTTGGGCACTTTATGTGTGCTAATTAAGCACACCATCGTCACTCCCAACACCACACAAATTGGAGACCTTTGGTATACCCCATCACCACAAAGTGGATCCAAGGCTCTGTACTATTCTTCCAATTTAATGATAATTTGAAATTATCACTCTCTAATGTTTTTAAAAATTTTGAGTTGAAAGGGTATAAAAGATCCCTGAAACAAACAAAGACCACACAGGTTTTCCAAATTTGAGGATATGAAACTCAGCTTGAATGCATTTATTTATTATAATCGCCAAAATAATTTTAGTGGGCACAACTTCTTAAAACCATATTGAGATTAGGCTCAGAATTTAATCACAACCAAGCAATTCACAAAAACACTTTAAGCAACAAAACATGCTTAATATCTCTTTGAGAAAGTTCTTTTGAATATGCGTAGTGTCACTGGGTATCACATAAAACTGCTAGAAGGTGACTATGTGTCTAAGTTCTGCACCATTAATTACATTGTTAAACTCTTAACATACAGGAAAGGCAAATTTAACCACATGTGAGATCCTTCTGTATCTCAAAATAAATGTCTTTATGGTACAATTTGTCTTTCTCAAATTTAAAAGATATTCTAGGTTACTCCTTAGGGAAACAAAAGTATGCACACTTTCATGGGGGAAAACAAGCTGCTTTGATTTGTAATTTTTATATTATACACTTCAATTATGAGTAAAGACTTCCAAAATGTGTTATATTTTTAAAAAGTAGCAATCAGTGGGGCAATAGTTGAAAATATTTACCAACATGTTATGTTCTTTAGAAATCAGTCTTCTGGATAAATAAATACGATGTCACTAAATTTTTTTTTACTATTATACATAGCTTGGAAGGAACTATAATATTTTGAACTGTAATTTTCACATTTTAAATGGTATTTTTCTTTATTTTGATGGCATTAAACTCTTAAAAATGTATCTATTTTATAGATATTAATATCACTGAATTTTCAACACCTGTCTGAACTTGTATATGAAAAATAAATCTAGCATCTGCAATTTCAGCTGGTTACACTGGGAGAAGAGGGGTTACCATTAACTTTATTATACCTTGTATTAACAATAAACCTTCTCACAGAGAAGAAAATACATTAAATACCTTAAATATTTACAACAATAAAAATTCACATTTCATGCTTTGGTGAGACACTTAGATCAGCCATATGGTAGTCCTCATAGTATACTGGATAGAGCCCTTCCAGTGTCTGGGCCTCTGCGGTGTGCCAGGTGTTCAGCTTTTGATGTTAGGGCAATAGCATACTTCTGCCATTTTCCTGTCCAGGAGCAAAACCAAAGGTAGTTCTTCTCACCCATCAAGTTGTGACCGCAGTCCGGTGTCATAGAGGGGTGTGAACCAGTGTGCTTCAGGCCTCAGGACTCATGTGAAATAAGTTTTGAGTGTTTGAAAAATGCTCAGGAGCCCCTGTGTTCTCTCTCTAATGTGAGCCACAGAATGAAAGCAGTAGTACTTCTGAGCACAGCTAAATGCTTCACTTACGTGTCTATTGCACAGGATTTTATAAGGTTCCAGAAACAGTGCTGTATTTCTTTCTTTGACTACTATATACACTTTTCTGATAAGTTCAGTGTTTCACTGGGGAATGTGACTTGCAGGGAGCTCCCCTTTGGGGCAGGCCCAGCCCTGTTCCTCCCACCGACCTCATCCACCAGTAAGACAGTCTCTGAGTCATGGCCCTGTGAGGAGTCCGAAGTCTCTGATATTCGCAAAGTTCTTAGTGAGGTGGTTTCTTCTGGGGCCTGGCCCATGCTAGGGACCCCCGGAAGCAAATTCCTGCCTCCAAGACTGTTTTCACTTAGTTCTGGCAGGTACAGGAGGGTCTGAGACGTGCTGCTGATCTCCTTCAGCTCCCGAGGGAAGAAAGAGTGAGAGTGGTTGGACATGGCTGAAGACGTCCTTCGACTCTCGGAGCAGTGCCGTCTGGAACGGTCTCTGCGGGACCCGCCAATGCGGCAGAAGAGGCATTTGATCTTCTCTATTGCTTTACTGAGCACTGTCTTTCTCAGAAGTATATATATCCAGGGGTCCAGGATGGGGTTCACAGAAGCAATTCGGATGGCCTGCAAGTCGGGGTTTCTGCTGATTTCTCGAACCACGCTGGGCTGATAGAGTTGGTTGATGAACACTCGCACCTGCATAAATGCGATGCCCACATTTAGATTTTATAACTAAGCATTTGGGAAGCCACTTAAATGTTACATCTACCCTAGCAACATTAGGGAGCTGCTCTCTTTTCTGGTAACAAGTGCTGAGGAAAGAGCAGTGTATACAATATACCGCAGAAAACCCAGAAATTGCAAAAATGTAATTACATATGTGTTTTGAGTTAGTATACTATTACATATTTTTTATCTTAAGAATACCTTTCTTAGACCAAAGATGCAAAATATATACAAATATGCAGTATATGTAGAGTTAAGATATGAATAAAGCCTCCTGAGAAGCATTTTATTAACTTTACCTTTCTGAGTACTTTCAAGGTTTTTGTAATTTTCAAAGAAGTATCTTTTCCCCCAGAGCCACTAGATTTCACCTTTTTCAGTAGCCATTTTATATATTATAAATGATACTTATTTTTTAAAGTCAACTAACCATCTAGGAATTACAAAAGGCTGAGGTTCTTTTTAGAGTTGCAAGAAGATATGCTAAAAACTTTTGAACCAGTATTAGGATCTCCTATTATCCAGAATGATTAGAGTATTTTCATTTTTTCTACGACTTCCTTTGCCAGGTAAAACAATCATCTAGTGTTATTAACTGCCCCTTTAGCCAAAACCTCCGATCCTTTCCCTCAAACTGCATTTCTCACTTGAAGATAAAACTGCAGCAGCCACCAAACTAGCCTTTCTGCCCGCTATACCTCTCCATTCTGTCTCTGCACTATCCCACAAATAAGATTATTTCTGAAATATATATCCGAATATGCTGCTCAACTGCTGAAACCTTCGAAAGCTCCTGGCTGCATGCAGACTATAGTTTTGTTAATCTTTCAAGGCAGCATTCAACTGCCATTCAGTGAATCCATCCTGACATTCCAATCAGAATCAACTCCTCCAATGTGCTTCTATTGCCTCTGAGCCAAACAGCAGGCAAGTGTTCAAAGAGCACTGCAAACAGACCAGCTGGGATGGGAAGGTTTTCTACTGCAGTTTGAGCTGTTAAGGGAACAGCTGTGTCTGCCGTCCCACCATGCGCCAGACAGGACATAAATAAAAGATGGAAGAACGCCCTAGCAGCTTGTTTGCTGTTTTGGATTGTTAGTTTTGACAGTTTAAAAATTTTGCTCCCCCTCCCGGGAACTGGGTATTAAACTCAGGACACTGCACTTGCAAGGCTGGCACGGTGCCACTGAGCTAAATCCCTGGCCCAATTTATTCTTATTATAATCATTTATTTGCTCACATCCTTTCATGTATTTTCATTATCTAGCAATAAGCACTTACTGTGTTTTAGGCATTATGATAAGTTCTGGGGACAAAACATTGCCTTAGATATCATAAACTTCTTGAAGGCGGAGAGGACAGAAACATAGACCGACTATTACTGCACAGTGATGAAGTGAAGTGGGAGAGGTGTGCACTGGGTGGCCGCTAAGACCTGGAGGGCAGGTGTCAGAAGATGCTTCCTAAAGGAGAGGAAGCTTGCACTGAGTTTTGGTGGGTAAGTGGGAATTTGCTAAATTGAGAAGCAAGGAAATAACATTTTAAGAGGGGTAGTTCCATGTGCAAAGTCATGGGGGAATTAAATATGCCAGCATCCAGAAAAATAAACATTTATTCTAAATGCATGAATTGGGGTAAACTTAAGGAAGGCAATGATTTTATTCTTTAAAGAAAACACACTTATTAAATATATACTCTTAAAGTATTTTTTGCCTAAGTTTTCTAGTTGCAGAGGAATCATTTATATTAAATTATCACTGGAAATGTGCAATAAAAAGAGGCTTGAAGATCATGGCCATCCACCTTGAGTAGTTATTTAGTAGTTATTACTTGTCTTTGCTAACTGTCTTAGGGAGAAGTAAGAAGTGAGGCTCACAGCCACGAAAGACAAAAACCACAAAAACGAAAAAGAAGAAGTTGCAAAAGCATAGCTGGAGTATCTGTTAATGGGAAGCAAACATTTCTCACTTTAACAAGACTCAAGGACATTGCTTCTTTACCGTACAGCATATAATTAATGATTTATGGTATATAAATCACCAGGGAAGGATTGAAATATTCTAGAAAAATTTACAACAATTTGGATAAAAGAAGAAAGTTTGAAATGTTTGAACGACGTGTCATCCATCTGCAAAATTCAACTTATATGAAATTATTCTTAGGTGATGTTGGATCAATGGCATATAACTATATTCCTGTTTCTTCCTTAAGAATTTAGATCTTATCAGCTACAGGTCTGGTTCTTCATCAAGAAAATTTTGATTTTCAGTTATTATTTTGTTGTTCTTAATTTGTTTCATTTTGGACACTTACTTGGGTGTAAAGCCTAGCCTAAGCTTGGCATCCAAACAGGAACTGACATTAGGCATAATGGAAAACCTGTAATCCCAGTACTCTGAGAGGTGGATGCAGGGAGACTGCACAATGCAGGCAATTTATCAATTTAGTAAAACCTTGTCTTAAAGAGTGGGTGGGTGGATGTCTGGGACTGTAGCTCAGTGTAAAAGCCCTGAGTTCAATACCTAGTACCCCCCCAATACCTGAAGGTATTGTTTTGTTAATTCCACTTACAGTGAATATATATTTCCATTTTGCTCCATGGCATTGTTCCTCTAGGAATATTACATATTTTATGGTGTATTAATAATTACTTTTCTAAAATCCAGGAAATTCTGAATTTTGAATCAGGCCTTAGATTTTAGATAAGGACTATGGTCCTGTAAATCTCATAGAATAAAATGATCAAAAGGCTCTGAGTGAGATTAAAATATCTTCTTTTTGGTATTGAAGATTGAACCCCAGGACTCTTCACATGCTAAGTAAACATAATATCACCGATTTCCATCCCCAGCCTTTTTCTTTTTGTTGTTGTTTTCTTTTTCCGGTACCAGGGATTGAACTCAGGACTTTGCACTTCCAAGGCAAGCGGTGATAGCACTGAGTGAAATCCCCAGCCCTGTTGTTTTCTTTTTGAAACAGAGCCTTGCTAACCTGCTTGTGCTGTCCTCAAACTGCTGCCCTGCTGCCTCATCTTCTTGAAAATTAAAATTAACATCTTGATCTTAGTAAGGGAGCTAAGGAATGCACTAGAGGTTTTTTTTTTAATAGAATAAATCAGATGCTACATTAAAATGTGACACGTGCTATGGATAAAACAGCAGAACAAGAGGTTTGAGAAAGAAGGGACCATGAAGAAAAAAGAGGTGACATCTGTGGAAAGACCAGGGAAATGGAGACATTATAGGGGAGTTTGTCATTTGTCATAGATCAGGCTTTTTTTTGTTTTGTTTTGTTTTGTTTTGTTTTTTGAGACAGGGTCTCACTATGTAGTTGAGACTGACCTGGAACTCACTATGTAGCCCAGGCTGGTCTCGAACTCACAGCAATCCTTCTGCCTCAGCCACCCGAGTGCTGGGATTACAGGCGTTCACCACCATGCTCCGCTAGAGTTTTCTTTTAATACGGCTTTTCTTTTTCTTTTTTTCTTTTATTATACAAGGCTGGATATATTTTTAAGAATTATTTACCAACAATGGAAGTATTGGTAAAAATATGAGTTTTTAAAATTTTTATTTTATTTTTATCAATATCCCATATTATGTTGCTAAGAATAGAAGAAATGAAGAGTTTAAATCTGTAAGAGTGTAATACTGTATTAAACTCTGCCAAAGGGTTTGTATGAAGTTGAGACTCCAAGCCTCTAGGTGGCAGTGTTGCTCCACTGCGGCGTCATACCACTCCCTCCCTAGGCTATGTTCTGCTCAGCCATTTCCAAGACTTTCAGACCAGAACTTTGGTTAACTCTAAACTTTGCATTTCTGAGATTTTTATATTGACATGTTACTTGTTGGTTCTCCACCACAATTTCAACGGAAACATGGTTACTACTGAAAGGAAGAGAAATTTTGCAGCCATTTAAAGGAATGTATTATAGTCACCTCTGGGCCTTACTTCATCCACAGCTGTAATTAATTTTGACTACTAGAAAAGGGGATGAAAAGAAGATGTAATGAGCAATGATCCACCTAGAGTTCCATGGGTAAAGTCTTTCATCTGATAATTACTACTGTACAAGCTATTGAACTGGGCCATTTAATTGTCTTTTCAGTAAAGGGAAGTTCACAGGGTAGCAGAAAGATGAATAAAAACACAAAATTCTAAATTCACATGAAAACATTCTCAAAAGTTGGTCAAATTATTTGTAAAGAATCAATATGGATTAATTTTACTATTTTTAATGGTGATTTACTTCAAATAGAGAAGGAAAAAAAGACAAAAATGAATGAAAACCCCATGCATTTTATGTTTGGATAAGTATATCAATCTATGTTTCACTTGAAGACTACTTGATTTCGTCTCCCTGAAGGAAGGAAAACTTAGATAAAGGGGAATATTCACAGCAGTAGTTGAGTGCCATGTGGGGTTGTGAAAACAGTTTCCTGGGACTCAAGTCCATCAAACCGTATATCTTACACAAATAAACAAATTGAGGCAAGTTTCAGTCTCGGAAGACTGTGCTGAGGATAAAACAGAACTGAATCAGAGGGAAAAAAAATCTTTTTTTTTTTTTTTTTAACCAAATACAAACAACACTTCTACTTTCTTCCCATTTTTGTCTTTTTTGTGGTAGATGCAGGTTTATGCAGGTGACTTGTCTTTAAGATCGGTGTAGGTTACAATATTCTAAACCTCTTGAGACTGTTTTGAGATTAGGGTTCAGGAGCATTGGACCGTAACTTGTAGAAGAGTCAACAACTTCACAAGTGGATATATGACACGAAAGTTACAAGAGAGGCTGTATGTTGCAGAGATAAACTCTCAAGCTTTATAGTCAACTTCTGTTCAAATCCTGATGGTGCTTATCACTTATGTCTAAATTATTAAATTGCGTAGCACAGTGCCTGGGATATAACATACAGGCTGACTCTCACTGTGATCCATATGTGAAATATACCACTGTGGAATATACCAACAATTTGAAAAGATCAGGAAAAAAGTAGCATCGGGGTATGATTAGTGACATGGTATTAAAAACACATACATGCTACATAAGAATAGCCTGTTTGCAGAGAATGTTGAATTCAAAGAGGAATGTTGAGATCTTGATTGGATCTATTAAATAACTTAATAATGCTTTGTAATAAATGACAAGATCAATAACTGGACTTAAGTATATGTGCTATTTGTTCTGTTCCAAGCACATATAAGGAATAATCTGCATATGCTTGATTATCTCACTGTCTTGTGCAGAGTCCAAAACTGACACAACTCTTACTAGAAGTTCTTACCATTATTATTATTATTTTTTTTAAAGAGAAGGATCATGGAAAGAGTTCTTGACTGAGATCTCTACGAGAGACCTGATTCTTATTCCTTCTGGGTCACTAACTGGTCATTATGGCAAGCAAGTGACTTAATCTTTATTGGCCAATCTCTATATTGAAAATTGATTTCTAAAGTTTTTTTTTAAGCACTCTCCTTCAACATTCTAATGGGAGACTACAAGAATAATTTCAAGTTTCAAAAAAATTGCTAGTACATGTTCAATGAAATACCAGCAAAGTGTGGTGGAGAGGGCACTGGACTAGGACTCACCATAGGAATCCAGTAAATTTCACCGAATAAATTCTTCATCTGCAGCTAAGATGTAGGGTGTGAAAACACTAATCTTCTCTACTTCCTAACTAGAGCCTTTTCAAGATGCAAAGGAGAAGCTGGATGTGGAAATACCTTCTTACATTTATGTTACTTTGCATGCTTAGGTTGCTATGATTGGGTCTGCAATTTAATTTTATGATTAAAAATTGCTTCTAGGAATTCCTATTTTTAAACTTAATAACATTTATTAGAAAAAGATCAATCCTTTTGATTCCTCTATAATCATGTCCAAATTTACTGACTTGCTCTTTTACCCACAGATATAATTTTTTCTTCTCTGACATCCCATCATTTGTTTTATGGCTCCACTTCCCGTTTTCCTTTAACAAAAATGGACCAATTCACACAGTTTTCAGTTGCATTTATAAATTTTCTCTGACCAAATGCTGGTGAGGCCTGTAAGGTGATTACTAATTTATAGTAAACAACCAAAGAAACACTCACAGGAACATATTTTCCTATGGATTTAAATTTACCTGACCAAGGCAGAAGATTAATCCAATTGGCCATTCTAATTCTAATTAGGGGTGAATATGTTTTTAGTTCAGATTAAGAAGAAAATAAATAAATAAGCAAGAAATACAATCTTGTCTTGCCTATGCATGGGGAAAATACTTTTCCAAATCTCACAGTGTAACTATAGCCCTGAGGCAAAATATTTGATTATGAGTATTATCTTTACATTAACACTATTATCTGCAAAATTTGGTGGGCAAAACTGGTCTCCTATAGCTTTTATTTTTATTTTTTTTTTGGTACCAGGGACTGAACTCAGGTCTTTGCGCTTGCGAGGCAGGCAACCAAACCACTGAGCTAAATCCCTGGCCTTCCTATAGCTTTTAAAACTGGGACCTTAGGAGGTTGTCTTGTTTGCATGTTTCTTTTCTTTTTTTTTTTTTTTTTTCGTTTTGGG